GTTTGATGTTACGTACATTATTAACGTTACAGAATCCACATATTCCTGCCAGTTTTAATATCTATTTTGTAATCAACAAGTGTGTAACCCCGGTCAAAGTTTGACACTTCTCTGGCCATTATCTCCGTAACCGTTCAACTTTGGACATAGGTGTTTTGGGTTATATCGGCATACTTTAACATAAGGAACACCCTCCCAAAGTTTGGCACATTCCTCCTGGGACACCCTGTATATATATATATATAAACAAACACACTATATACTATGACTTCATTTTCCCACTACTTCCCATCTTTGTGCAACCTTGTTGATGTAGTAATATTCACATATCTTTGTTTCTATATTATACAGCACCACATGTTTCGGCCTAACTGGCCATCATTGGGTGTATAAAGTGTTGAGTTGAAGGCACCTGCTTCTCTATTATGATGTTTCATTTTTCATTTTTGATGAAAATGCTTCAGAATACCGTATTTACGCGTGTATAGGCCGCAGCACAATTTTCACACAAATTATAGAAAAAATAATTTTCTTGGAATATTATTTCAAGAGTAGAACACCCTGTATTACTAATTATGAATATAATTTTTTTTAAATGAAGTGTGATTTCGAATATTTCGAATATAAGCCACACCCCAGTTTTCCTCTTGAATTTTTGGCAGAAAATGTGCGCCCTATACATGCGTAAATACGGTATTCTAGGTTACCTTGCTGTTATGCACATGCCTGGTGTATGTGTAATCAGTGCTTGAAGCGGAATGAAAATAGAACCGGGATGCCATCCCACAACATCCCGCCCCACCTCAAGCCATGGGTATTGTACATTGCATTTACTGCCAAAGAAGTAACGGGATGCTTTTAAGCCATTTAGAAAAGAACCGGGATGCCATCCCGCTGCATCCTGCCCCACCTCAAGCCCTGTGTGTAATATGTAATGGGTTATATTGGTATTTTATTTATAAGCTATATACTTATGTATATTTTGTCTCTGTATTTTTGATGTTATGCTTCTTGTTGGTTTGCTGGTTTATCCTTTTTGTTCTGTGTTTCTGCAGAAGCAGAATCTTGTTTGCCACTGGAAGTCAGCCATCGTGGTCATTTGTGGTATTTCTGTAAAGGTGGGTCTGTCGTTATGTATGTAGGGCACGTATGCTGCTAGCTCGTGTTCATTTCCGACAGTGCTCTGATATTGGGTTATGTGTGTCAATGTTTGCATCATTCATTTGCAAGTTATTTTTGCTGTTCTTGTATATGTGGTATTTCTCCAGTGTTTAGGTGTTTACCTTTTCTGTGCTCTTATAATGCCCACAGCACCAGTAATGGTTTTGCATTTATGTCCTGTGTTTAATACGTGGTTTGAGTATCTTAAATTACCACATCCTACTACTACTGATGATAGTCAGTCAGGCCAAAACATGTAGTTATATAATAAAGAAATGAAGATGTGAACATTTATATACTGCTGCATTTTCTAGGTAACGCGACAAGAAAATTTGTGGATTTCGGATTTGACAAATATGTTTATGGGACTATCACTCAGTTACACTATTGCAATTATTCTCCTATAACACCCTTTTAGACAAAGTGACCTTACTGGCCCGTCGTCTCACTGCGTGGTTCTTCAATGTTTATACTTGCACTGCTATGCCTGGTTAAGAGTTTTCGTTCTTTGAAGCTCGACTGACTCCTGCTCTAGTCGAAGATGGATGGTTTTCTGCTCTAGTCGAAGCTGGACTGTTATATCCTACACTCAGGCTGAATACAGAACACCTTGTCGAAGGGTTCATATTCACTGCTGTCATGCAACTGCCTCATACAATTCATTACTTGGGCATTTCTAGCCTCTTTGTAATGGTGGAAACCCCACTGTAAGGCTTTCATGTTGTTTAAGCCATTTCCTAGGCAACGGGCTGCTTATATTGCATTGCCTAGGAACTGGCAGCCGTTCACCAGCGATGAATGTCTTATAGTCTGGCCTTCCTGG